ACTTTGTACCCAGGTTTTAATTGCCTTCTCCACAACTCAACTCAGACAATTACTGGTACTTTGTACCCAGGTTTTAATTGCCTTCCCCACAACTCATCTCAGTCAATTAATAGTACTTTGTCCTCGGGTTTTTAGTTGCCTGTTTCTGTACCTGTTCCTCAGGCGGGAAAACTGAGGATCTCGTTTTCTAAAGGCGTAACGACTCCAATCGGGTATAATTGTGGTATAACTTTCTGATTCTATATTTTTAAAAAATAGCGGAAAATGCAATGATCAACATCATTCATATTTTAAACAAGATTATTAACAAAATACATATGACAAACGAATTTGACTTTAGGTGTTGCTTATCTTTGCCCTTTCCTCCAAAACAATACGTTGGTACATAACCTGTAATATTTTTTAATCATTGGTTAAAAAATCACATGGAAGTATAATGCAAGGGAGGCAACTCTTATTGATTTCTGTTTGTTAAAACAAATCCATTTCACTATCCATGTAGTCACCAACAGATAACGTTAACACAGATTTTCATGTTCTCTCATTTGTTCGTATAAACATGTGCTAACATGTAAACACGTTTGTATAGAAGTAGGTGTTTCTAAGTTAAAACATTTCGTTTCCATGGTTACAGAGAAAATATCAGTTATGAAATATCACCGATAGAAGAAAATGAAAACCTAGGACACTGACGTGACATATATACAAAGTTTTCTCAAGATAAGTGGAATGAATTTCAAGTTTCAATAGCAAAGAAAAATTAAATTTTGTATTTCGAACCGTTTGTTAAAAATGAAATCTAGGTTTTAGCAAAAGGCACAATTACAACATTAGTATATATATGAATTGTTTCCTAGAGGTACGTTGTATGGGTTTCAAATTGTTGCCCGAAAAAGATTGTAAGCAGAAACTTTTCTTTCTGGCTGTGTTTCCATTGAAACATCCATATTGAATCCCTTCAACAGAAAGAGGAACAACTAGAATCAGATATGTAGATAAATTTGACAATTGATTATGTTAATTTAATATTAATATATATATATAAACAGGTGTGTTTTTTCTATAATATGTCCAGTCTTTGTTAATGTCAATAGAAAAGTACTTATAACACAATCAGTAGAAGGCACTGATTGTGTTGTAAGAACTTCTATTTCTAATGAAAAATTAAGGGAATGTTACATTGTTTTTCAGAAAAGAACCAAATTGTAAATTACTGTGAAATGAATTCATTATGTTGCAAGAAGTTCTATTCTATAAACCGTATGATCTTTTAGAAACAGCTGTTGTCTAGCATTGTTTTATCACACAATCATACTAATTGGCTTTAATAACATTTACAATTTAAGCAACATTAGTAAAATAGATCTGTTTCACCGAAAACTAGGTACGCCGTGACATTCCAAGATGGCAACAGTCTCGAACGCTTCGAATGTTTACCACTGTAGTTGGCATCAAAACGCGTTTTTATAATATTTTGTATTGCATGGTCTGTGTAACGCCAGTTTGATACATAATTCACAGCGATATTGAGTATTTATAGTGCATTCCAGTTAGAATGAAAATGTTCACGATATGTTTCATGGACATTCGGGCTTTGGATTGCATACCATTCGCCGATCTGTGGATTAAAACGGTATTTTTTAAAATCGTATGACTGGTGATGTTATACATACAGCTTTGTTTTCTGCTGTGTATCGCCGTACTGGTGATAAATTATTGTCCATTTGTACATGTCTGTGTACAGGAGATGACCTGCACAATACGTACGTCAAGCTATTTCTAACATCCAGTGTGAAATTTAACGGTAAACCGATATAGCTCAACTCCATTCTCTTCATATATTATCACTTATTAAATATTTATTTATTTAACTCGGTTTACGTCAACATATATTATCACCCGCACCTGCTGTTACTATAACCATCCATACACGACCATATCTTTCCTTTAGGTGACCGTAACGTACTTAAGGTGAAGGTAGCACGTGGGCTTAAGATTAGTACTTTTGTTTTTTGGGTTCTGTCTTCTGACCGGGTTTTACCAGAGTAAGATGGAAGTTGTTCCTTTTAAAAGTTCATATTTGTATTAGCGTACCGACTGGTGAACCTTATGTCAGTTTAAAGCGATTGTATGGAGTATCTTGTTTGTGTCATCGGTAATATAGTTCAGTGAGATAGCACTATAAAGATAGCACCAATTGCACACTATCAACAGGAGGCTTACACAAGCATATTGCAACCTACCTTATCATATCAACATTACTTTAACAATATGACATGTGTTCTATTTTCAAATTTTCTGTCACCTAGTCAATTTTTTTGGAAAATATGGTCATCGAAATGACATAAGTTAACCGTAAAGTAACCAACGGTTACCAATTTGTGTTTTCATTATTGACCGAGTTTTCATTACAGGCCGAGTTTTCAATATTTGCGCAGTTTTCAATATTTGACGAGTTTTCGATGTTGGTGAAGTATTTCGTTATTGCCAGAGTTTTTATTGTCAGTCTAGTTTTTTTTTACAATGTTGGCCGATTATTTTTTGTATGTTGGCAGAACTTTTCACTTTTGATCGAGTTTTCAATATTGCCCGAGTTTTTTTCAATGTTGGCCGAGCTTCCTCTTTTTTTCCCTTCAATATTGGCCGAGGTTTTCTCCCATATTATTTGTAATTGACGAGATATATTTAAAATCACTCACACACATTCATGGAAATTTTAAGCTATAATTCTAAATGAAAGATATTTTGGCCACTCAATGTTCGAATTCTGGTTACTATGGTGACATAGGACAAAAGCAAAGCGATATGTGGTATAACATGAGTTAAGGATAATGCCAAATTAATGCAATCTTAAATTATTTTTCTCTCTTACTTTTACAGAACCAAATTGTAAATTGCTGTGGAATGAAATGTAAATCGAAAATGATGAGGTTACAATTTGCGGCATGGTTACGTTACATAAAATGATGAGGTTACAATTTGCGGCATGGTTACGTCACATAAAATGATGAGGTTACAATTTGCGGCATGGTTACGTTACATAAAATGACGAGGTTATCAATCTGCGGCGTGGTTACGTTAAATAAAATGACGAGGTTATCAATCTGCGGCGTGGTCACGTTACATAAAATGACGAGGTTATCAATCTGCGGCGTGGTTACGTTACATAAAATGACGAGGTTATCAATCTGCGGCGTGGTTACGTTACATAAAATGATGAAGTTACAATCTGCGGCGTGGTTACGTTACATAAAATGATGAGGTTATCAATCTGCGGCGTGGTTACGTTACATAAAATGATGAGGTTACAATTTGCGGCGTGGTTACGTTACATAAAATGATGAGGTTATCAATCTGCGGCGTGGTTACGTTACATAAAAAGACGAGGTTATCAATCTGCGGCGTGGTCACGTTACATAAAATGACGAGGTTATCAATCTGCGGCGTGGTTACGTTACATAAAATGTTGACGCTACCCCATTGTAAGTGGCATCATAGCGCCTGAAATTGGTCTTAGGAAAAAAAATCTTAGTTTTTTTCTTGAAGAAAAACCGAAATGCATGGGAGAAAAAATAATCATACTTTTTTTTTTTTTTTTTAGAATTGACAAAGCACTAAATAGCTTCGGTGCTATCCTGGCAATATTCCGATCAATCAGATATTAGTTTTGGTAACCATGGCAACAAAGTACGAAGAGGAGACAAAATGAGATGTACCAGTATGTGAAGTGTATATTATGGCACAATATATGAAATCCAGTACATAACCATCACAACGTTATTAGTGAAACGGTTGTTCTACTTGACGAATTACAGTGTCGATAATGACGATTTATTTTAACTTTGATCAATTTCTTATCGTTTAAAGATAGAAGAATGGTAACTGGCTTATCATACAATAAATTTTGCGTACTGTAAACAAACACCTGTGTTGACACTTGTTTATATGTGTGTAGTAAGAAAGCTACTTTACACAGCTGTATACAGGTATACGTGTACAGGGTTGGGGATGCTAACTTACCTACAACAGACACCTGTGTTGACTGCTTACCTATCTGTGTAAAGTCTGTAAGGTAGACAACACAGCTGTATATTTAACCGTGTACAGGGTTGGGGATGCTAACTTACCTACAACAGACACCTGTGTTGACTGATTTCCTATCTGTGTAATGTCTGTAAGGTAGACAACACAGCTGTATATTTCACCGTGTACAAAGTTGGGAATGCTAACTTACCTACAACAGACACCTGTGTTGACTGATTTCCTATCTGTGTAATGTCTGTAAGGTAGACAACACTGCTGTATATTTCACCGTGTACAGAGTTGGGGATGCTAACTTACCTACAACAGACACCTGTGTTGACTGATTTCCTATCTGTGTAATGTCTGTAAGGTAGACAACACAGCTGTATATTTCACCGTGTACAAAGTTGGGAATGCTAACTTACCTACAACAGACACCTGTGTTGACTGATTTCCTATCTGTGTAAAGTCTGTAAGGAAGACTACACAGCTGTATGTATCACCGTGTACAGGGTTGAGGATTCCCAGTCTGACTTCATTAGAGGACAATTGTGTACAGTCTGTACTGTAGCTCTCGGGTGATAATGTAGAACAAGAGGGTGTAGCTGTAGGTGTGACAGTTGCAGCAATCCGGTTATTCTTATCCCCCCACTGTAACTGTCCCAGTGTCCCTCCGTTCAGGTCATACGTACATATCAGCCACAACACATCCCCCTCTGTTACCATGGCGACAGGGGATGGGTAAATGCTTACGTTGGCTGCTACCGGAAATTTCACTGTAAAAAAATAAGAGATCATCAATTTTACAAATTTAACAAGGACATATCATCTACTAGCTAAATGACCGGCTCTTGACGAAGGCCAAACATCAGTCACTCCCCACCATACCTGGGACATAACTTGATTGCATACAGAAATACAACACAAACAAAGTCCGGCAAAAGGGTAGAATTGGAGTCGGAAGCAAAGGGGAAAAAATGGGAAAACACCATATGAAGCCATTGATAACGACTAGGATGAAGGAGAGGCCGTCTATAATCAAGGACACACTGTCTAGAAACAAGGAGACACGGTCTGTAATCAAGGACACACTGTCTAGAACCAATGAGACACCGTCTGTAATCAAGGACACACTGTCTAGAACCAAGGATACACCGTCTGTAATCAAGGACACACTGTCTAGAACCAAGGAGACACCGTCTGTAATCAAGGACACACTGTCTAGAACCAAGGAGACACCGTCTGTAATCAAGGACACACTGTCTAGGACCAAGGAGACACCGTCTGTAATCAAAGACACGCTGTCTAGGACCAAGGAGACACCGTCTGTAATCAAGGACACACTGTCTAGAACCAAGGAGACACCGTCTAGAACCAAGGAGACACCGTCTGTAATCAAGGACACACTGTCTAGAACCAAGAAGAGGCCGACTTTAATCAAGGACACAATGTCTAGAACCACGGAGACACGGTCTGTAATCAAGGACACACTGTCTAGAACCAATGATACACCGTCTGTAATCAAGGACACACTGTCTAGAAACAAGGAGACACTGTCTGTAATCAAGGACACACTGTCTAGAAACAAGGAGTGGCCGTCTGTAATCAAGGACACACTGTCTAGAACCAAGAAGAAGCCGACTTTAATCAAGGACACACTGTCTAGAACCACGGAGACACCGTCTGTAATCAAGGACACACTGTCTAGAACCACGGAGACACCGTCTGTAAACAAGGACATACTGTCTAGAAACAAGGAGAGGCCGTCTGTAATCAAGGATACTCTGTCTAGAACCAAGGATACACCGTCTGTAATCAAGGACACACTGTCTAGGTCCAAGGATACACCGTCTGTAATCAAGGACACACTGTCTAGAACCAAGGATACACCGTCTGTAATCAAGGACACACTGTCTAGAACCAAGAATACACCGTCTGTAATCAAAGACACACTGTCTAGAACCAAGGAGACACCGTCTGTAATCAAGGACACACTGTCTAGAACCAAGGAGACACCGTCTGTAATCAAGGACACACTGTCTAGAACCACGGAGACACGGTCTGTAATCAAAGACACACTGTCTAGAACCAAGGTTACACCGTCTGTAATCAAAGACACACTGTCAAGATTCGAAAAGACGCAGCCTTAACAATCGAGACGCTGACGGGAACCAGTGAGATATCGTCTAAACTATGGACACAAACGTTCTGGGGTACGACATCAGGGTAAATGAAAACCAAAACTATGATTAGAAGTAAACATGTACAAGGTTCTTACGTTAGAACTTGGAAGTGGCGCACACCTTTGTGTACGAGAAGATATTTAACACACCATCTTACCTGTTTGTATCAGAACCACATATAAAAGAAACACAGCACTGTTTGTTGTAAACGCCATGACTAGAGGTTTGTGTTTACATGTAAATAATTTCCTGGTTTGTCGGATATATATAGAACAATAAACTCATACACAAAGTAGATAAGTAGGCCGATACTATTTTCAGATAACTTTATTATCCAAAATGATGGAGGTCTGAAACATACAAAAAGTAACATTGTAAATAAAATCAACTATCTGTTGGTAAGACATAAGTAATAGACTAACAAGTAAATACACAATCCTCTACAATGGAACCAGTATATTTCGTTTACAAATGAATCAATGTGACAATTCTATTCACATTTAAGACGATTGACGTAATATTGTTGTGAAAGAAAAACACTCAATCCTTAATTTTTTTTCGTGAACATCATTTATTCACATTCAATACGTTAGACGTTGTCTGGTCTACCGTGTCGCCAGGATTTCACACTATCGTACGAGTTACTCCGCATCGCACTTCATAGTGTTACAGTTTGTAATCTTGACGAGTTGTTTCCCTTGCATTGTACTATTTAGAAGAGACAATAAACATGTTGTTCTCTCTCTCTCTCTCCCCCCCCCCCCCATCTCTCTCTCTCTCTCTCTCTCTCTCTCTCTCTCTCTCTCTCTCTCTCTCTCTCTCTCTCTCTCTCTCTCTCTCTCTCTCTCTCTCTCTCTCTCTCTCTCCCTCTCTCTCTCTGAAGCTTATGGATGTGATTACAACTAACGCGGTTTATTATTCGTTTAAACCCAATACATACATCAAAAGACTAGAACGAAAAACAAAATGAATCATTTGAATCTATGGCCAAGAGAGTTTTCTTTGAATTTGGAGTCATGGTAAACCCATCGGAATTGAATGACCCCTTCTTTTGGCTAACTTGTTTTTATTTCCAATGTTGAATTTATCAAAGATCTTAGTAGAACATGACAGACTAACTAAGTCCTTCAGATTCGGCTTTGACAAGCACCTATGGTACAATGTCCTCAAAACACCACCTCGGTCGTAATTGAAGTGCACAGTGTTAAATTAGCGTTGATATGTCTGTGTCCGGCAGCCATTTTGTCCAATAAGAAAAAATGAAACCTCGTCGATGTCTTTGTCGTGTCAGACAACACCTTGGCACCGATTTTCATAACAATCAGAAAATACGTAACTTTGAACGAATCTGATGTTCCTCTCGATGGTCATTTATTTAAGCCAGAAAATGAATTCCGACATTCCGTTCCTGAATTTAGACAATGCTTATACACCATTAACACTTTAACCAATCAGGTGTCGTTATGTGGCGGTCATCTTATACAATAAGAAAAACAAACGTCATCGTTGTGTGGCTGGTGTGAAACAACACTTACATACTAGGTTATGGTTTGTAAAATTTCATCCAATAAATTTTGAGAAACGTGTCGGAAATATCGCTATCAGAAGAAAGTGTAGGAAATGATAATGAAAATAATAACTCGCGCACCCCGACATTTTGATGATGAAACAATTTTGAATTCACATAAGTCCGAATTATTTTAAAACTGTTACATCAGCCGCCTACCTCAAATTTTACTCAGGTACATCTAGAATAAATAATTCCACAGCTTTTCACCAAGATGAATAATAAGTGTAAAACGATTTCAGTTTTCTTAGCGTCATTTCCCATTTTCCATCCCTGCTTTTCAAGTCAATGGCGTTTATTTTACGCTGTAAATTCTATATTTTTGGGTTTGTTCCTAATATCAATCATCATCATACAAATCTTCACTGTTATTAAATAATAGAACGTAGCTGTTTACAAGCAGAAATTTATTCCAACATTTAAAAGTATTCTTTATCTATGCTTTCTTATAAAGTTTTTTTTTTTACTTTTATATGTATAGTATATATATACAATGACCTATTATACTTATGTCCTATAAAGTGATGTAGGTATGATGTATTTATATCCAATGACCTATTATACTTATGTCCTATATAGTGATGTTGGTAAGATGTATAGTATTTATATCCAATGACCTATTATACTTATGTCCTATAAAGTGATGTAGGTAAGATGTATAGTATTTATATCCAATGACCTATTATACTTATGTCCTGTAAAGTGATGTAGGTATGATGTAAATCTCCATATCTATACGGTAGAAAGCGGGCGTCCTTAACTTAATAATCCTGTGTCCAATTCCGTTTAAAAAGAATATATATTTGAACCAAAATGTCACAATTTTCTTAGATAGATATCAAAACGGATTGAATAAAAATGAGAAGACATCGTTTCGAAAGATACCGCGTAAAAACAAATTGCAAAATTGTTTTTAACTTAACACTAGTTATTTGGTTAGACCAAGATTTACATGATGTCGTCCATGAAGCAGAAGACCCTTATTCTGTCCAATAACATGGTCTTTTTCTCCTTGTACTTTTTAAAGTGTCTCTTTGTACGTGTTTCCTTTGTTCATATCTCAAACTTATTTTATTTATTTTTATATCGAATTACGATTTTCTAGCATAGGTATTTTCTTCCTATTGAAAAATAACAACTCTTATGTTTTGTTATCATAAAAAAACATCACTTTTATATCATGTCACATAGTAAGTCTTTTATCCTACAACATCTATACATTTGGTTTGAATTAATTAAATTAATTCATTGAAGCATATATTTGAACGTCGGGCAATTTAATTTAAAGAGGATTCAAAAAGAGGTAGACGTGTACTTACGTACTTATGTTTATTGGTTTTCTCTGTTATAAGTTTATACCCTCAAATGGATATGTTAGATAGATAAAGAGGAAGTCCGAGTGTCGGAACGAAAAAAACAAACAATGGAACAGATTTCCCTACCGCTGTCTGTGTTTATAAATACAATTTTAAGATCCATCGAAGGTAAATTGATATAATCAAATTTATATTATCAAATTAATTCAAAGGGTGCCTTTGAGCATTTCCGTCTTGAAACGGTGTATAGCTATTTCAGTTAAAAAAATCGAGAGTGGAGTGTTTTAATGACATGTTGCTGATGGCTCTTTAACAAGCACTAATTCTCTGGAAATGATGTAAATGTTAGATAAAGACACTTTTCAACATCTTTGACTTCCAGTCATGAGCGTCAGACACTTAAGTTATGATAATTTTCCCACGCTTGACAGAACGCATGCTGGTTGACGCGCATTTAGGTCGAGTCACAGCCGAGTGCGCGTGGCTAAATATAGCGCCCTCACGCGCAGCTGCGATAACAACCGGAAGTTGGTCGCGTCCTTTTACCGCGGGAGTCATAGCGTGCTGGTCTAGTCTGCTCTCATCTTATCTTGCGCTTGATCAGTACACATGTTGCACATTTCAATGTCAAGGCCAGAGGTGTCCTTGTAATGGCAATTGGTTTACGCTGAAATGAGACATTTATTTATAAAGTCGTAAAATTTCTAGATAATTCCCCTTTTCATTGAGAATTTCACAGACTGTTTTCTGCTTTAAAATAACTGAAAAGTTATATTGATAAATAAAACTGGTAAAGTTTTCTTTGCAGAAAACGGAAGAGCCATATATAGAGAATGTGTCCGCACACGTCATGCATGCCATTTCTACCAGAGTTGTCTTTCCTGAGGGTCATAATGGTTTACATTCCTATGTCATATCTTACGTCATTAGCTCAAATCAAAGCTTATGATACTACCTTTTAAAATTTAAACATCACCAGTCCTCCTGACAAATTTCACTACTGAAATGTCGCCTCCTGACAAGACTTTTCTGTCAGTGTTTTCGTTGGTTTTGATTTTCTTAGCTAGGTTGATCGTCCCGTGAACACCCAGGGACCTCCTTGTAGTAACTAGCGGTTACCATACAGAACAAGATACGGAAGGCCCGTCGAATGTAATCCAAGGCAACTATGGCCAAGTGACTTTCCGTAGGATACAACCATGACAACACAGATTCCTGAGAAACACAAGCAGTCACGGGTAGGAAACCTCGAACACTCGCCTTAGGTTATGTAAGTCAAACGATCGCGGCTCTGTTTTATCTAGTTATCTTACTTCTCAATTAACTTAAGTTCAGACCGAACAAACGAATATAAAATATAGAAATATTGACACAAATTTTAATTTTGAGTTGCCTTTTTTTCTTTTTTTTTAATACAACGAAATTACATACAAATATAAAATATCAAATTAACTTTCATTACGATTTGTTCAAGCAGAAATAGATACATATGTTACTACTTAGCACGTGGACGATATATATCCTATCGAATACCTATTTTATAGTAACATTCCCTCATGAATACAAGACAAACGAGGATTATAAAATGCATATTATTTCGATAATGTCACATGAGAAAAAAATATCAGTTTAATTTCATAAACCAAAACGTAAATTACAAAAAAGGTGAAATGTTTGTAAAAATTCTTAATGAAATTTTGTTATCAAAGATGCTATTTCAACATAATTTCATTCTAAATGTAGAAACAGCATAATTATGTTGATTTCAAATACTTTGGACTGATTATGTTAATATCTGATCCATGACAAGCGCTATCTGTTGTAGAGTACACTTAGCTCTCATGTCAGCTTTACATTTGACGCGACGGAATTCCTCGATCAGGATTAATCTATTTTAAAGTGTTCATTATGTTCATTCGCGTGGGAAAAAAACATGTGCTTTTCCTATTCTGCGTCTTTCACGTTTGAGTGATTTTATGAACGTTTCTACTTTAGAAGACATTGTGTCGTTTTCAACATCGAACGCGTGAGCACGCGGGGTGACACGCTTAGATTGTCACGTTACCTTATCCCGAGTCTTACCA